TCGTTCGTGTCATCTTTTCGCAGCGTCGAAATTTCGTCGTTCGAGAAGTTTTGTTTTTTTTTTGTATACAAAAAGTAGACAATTAAAATAAGCTTTCCTTCGTGGATTGTAGAACATTTTACGCTGCATCTTTTGGTATATTTTGTTTTTTTTTAAATAAAAGATTTCAGGTGGTAAAGAGGAAAAAACGCATTGGCCGTGTATTGAACAAAGACTTTTTCGCAGCATCGAAATCTAGTGGCTTAGAATTTTTGTCGATTTCGAAAACGAAAAGTACGGCTGTAAAAAAAGTGGTCCTATGTAAATTATAGAGCTTTTCACGCTTCATCTTGTGATGTATTTTGTTTTTTTTTTGAATAAAAGATATGAAGTGATCAAAAGATGAATAAGTCCATCTTGTGCCGAAAAAAATATCGTTTTCACACGGTCGAAATTTGATTGCTTGAAGTTTTGACGATTTTGAAAACAAAAAGTGCAACTGTAAAAAAGCGGTCTTATGCAAATTGTAGAGCTTTTCATACTGCATCTTTTAGTATATTATATGAAAAAAAAGTTCTTAGAAATTTTTCTATTAATATCGATAAGAAAATGTCGCGAATTTTTTTTCCATCCCTTATGTGCGCAAAAAAATTTCAGTCTTTCCATTGATCGCATTGCTTCAGAGCGTATTGATTCATCAGAATCAGGCAACATTATTGATGATGTTTCGTGAAAACCTTTCTTTGCTAGAGAAAGAGGAATTTTACAAAACGAAAGGAAAAAGAGGCGAAGTAGGTTGCCAGAATTCTGATCTCACGCAGCTTTAATAATGTTTTTCGACTTGATTTTGAGGAGGACAGGTAAAACCGATATTTCGTAGAGCTACAATTTAGGCATAATTACTAAAAAAGATTTCGATTGACTTATTTACACACAAACATAAAAATTCTAAAATTAAATGTCTGAGCTCATCGGAGTATTTATGACACTTTATCATACAGTTCGAGTGAGAACCAAGATAGCTAGGAACACGACCCTGAGCACAATTTTTGGAAATTCACAATCGAGAAGGTCGATTTCAACATGAGGTCATAATGACTTCTAACGAATTTTGGAGAATATTTTACCCTATCATATAAATTTTTCTCCTGTATATTATTCAATTCAAATTGAATTCTACTTAGATTCAAGCTTTCAGAATTGATATTGTTGTGTCTCTAGCAAGAACTTTTGCATCAGTTGTAGAGATATTTACCCAAATTCCATCAAAAGCACATCTAAAGTTTCGTACTAATTCTTTTTGTATTTGTACTAGAACTATATACACTATTCTTTGCGTCTGTTCTGCCGTGAACAACACAGTAAGCCATCACACAATTGATAGAGCTACCTTGAAAAGCAGCAATGCTTATCTCTTGTTCGTATATGTTAGCTGTTTTTATTCACAAGCTATTACAATCTAATTAAGTTTGAGATATCGAGTTTTTTTTCTAATTTCAATTTCTAGGTCTATGTATTTCCAGCTAAAATGACATTATAGTCAAAGACTTGTAAAGTAGATCTTGTTTCTTTTGCTGTCTTTCGGCTGAGCTTTCGCTGTCAACTTCGTGAACCAAAGAAATGTACGACACTAAATGTCAACACTTGAAAATTGTTCTTATCAATCGAGTTTTCTGAGTCAATATTGAATGCAGATCAACAACACACTAATTTATCAATTTTTGATCCTTTTTTGCGAACCTTTGGTACACTTTGACAAGCAAAATCATGCATTTCTTTCTATTCACTTTTTTATTCAAAAGTGATTTTTTTGTTTACCATTGAGATTCTGTTTTTCCTCTTTTTATGCAGACTGTCAGTAGAGTGCCAGATAGAATTACATCCTGACAGCCTACGCTTGTAATACATGTTTTTATTCATTAGTAAAACATGAATTGAATTTTTTGGTTCATCTTATAATTCAACTGATACTTGAATTACTTTAAAATGTTAAAAACTTTGAACATGATACATGTGTTTACTGTAACAGAATTATTAACATTAAGATGTAGACTATATTTTAAAAGAATGAACTATAGTAGGACAAAAAAAAAGTGCAATTAATAAAATAGTAGAGTCTCTCAAATCTCATCTAATGGTAAAATTTACAAGAAAGAATATTTATTATCTACAAAATGGAAAGTAATTTTTCTTTATAACTTCATTTGGTTAGGCACTGTCGAACGACATCTTGAAGAATTTCACGAATCAAATAAAAGTCGAAAATTCAACGATTCATAATGATTTATTAGAATATAGCATTTTTGAAAAAGATTTTTATTCAATAGGCTCTCTTAAAAAATTAATGCATGGAAACTGTTTATTATAAACTCATGTCTTAGAAAAAATCATTTACAAATTCGGTATTTTCAAAAGATGGGAGAAAATCTCATTTTACTATTGAATGATCTAACTAAAGGAGACTCATCGACTTCGCACAAAATATTTTAAGCGCTGCTAAGAATTTGTTTTAGTTACATCACTATTCCTAATATATAATCCATAGAAAAAATATCACATTCCGAATCAAATGCAAGATTTTTACAGAGAACTTTGAATTCACAACAGATGTTAATATTAGTGGTATAAGAAAGGATGCATAAGCGCTTTACAAATGAAAGATTCCGTTTTGATTAGTAGTTTTACAACATAAGACCTAATAAAACTAATTACATTGCTTACAATTTCATGAAAAACGACAATGTCAAGAAAAGTAAGATCAAAAGTTATATTGAATGCGCAAACAACCACTTTTTAACAGTAGTCTCACGGAAAAAAAGTTTTCGAAGAAAATCATGATTGAATACGATTTTAATAAACCGTGAAAGTCAGACCATTTATACTTCTATACACACCGATCAAAACCATGATGAGAACCGAAGAAACTGGTTAAAGTTGCAAAAAAAAAAACACGTCGGAACGCGATAATGTCTATTCTCACTACAGTTTTCATCGGTGTATATAGCTGCATAAATGATCTGACCTTTGCAAGTTCATTAAAACTGCAGTTTTATCAGCAAATTTTTTTTCGTGAAATACGTGTCAGAAGCAGACTTTATTTGAATATCTCGTTTATATTCACAAAAATTCGTTTACATTTATTCACAATAGTATGTTCTTTCCATGAAGAAAAACACAACAATTTTAGATGTTTTATGAACATTAGTACAGATTGATTATTGAAATAGAATACAAAAAAAAAAGAACTATAGCAGTATTCCAAGCAAATACCTAACAGTTAGAGAACAAAATAAAAATATAATCATTTTAAAATTTGATAATATTATGAATGAAGGTAGTTTTTATCTCTTGTCAAAAATATGCATCAATGATGTTAGCCAATGTTATCGAAAATAAACATCATGTGTTAAATATATTAAAATCTGAAACAATAATTAAATATTCTTTATGAACCAACGCATTACTACTAAATAACAATCATTCATAAATCAGGCATGACTTTTCTATAATTAAAGTATCATTTCTATCATAAATAATTTATCTACTCGAATTTCTTCCACTTTGATAAGATTATAGACAATAATACGGTACTATTATTCTATTGGATGAATGTTCATCAAGGTCATTACATGTAGGTATGCATCAACAGTCTGATTAACTTCCTGAAGTAGTTTCCAAATATATGCTTATTTTGTCGTTTTGATTCATATTGAAATTAATCCATGTTGTCATAACAATAGAAAGTAATGAACAAGACTTTGGTTTACTAATAAATCTTATGTTGTATCATGTAACATAACCTTATTGTGAAAGAAATGTAGTTCTTTTTAACACTGAATCATTTTTGTCAATGATGCTTCTGTAAGAATTTATTGCAAAGAGCAATGAAAATGGAAAGAGACACAGTAATATTTTCCAGTAAAGTTCAAGAAAACATCTTTACACGCCATACGACATAGGAAACAAATAATATTAGATGAACTTCTTTTTATAGAAAATGAATAAGATTTTAATTCAATAATGTACACATGAAATGTGTAAATGCATTTCGAATGAACGCTATTAGTAGATTTATAAATATTGAAAATGACGTTAGACAAAACAATTATTCTAGATTAGTAAGTTCTATCAGAGGTGCAGAATCTACCCGCGTGCGCGCACGGCCGTTTCGGGAAATCTTTTGATTCTTAGGAGCGTTTTGGGGAAATAGCTGGAGAAAATAAACCCTCGTGCGGGGAAATTTTTTAAAATCATGGCAGATTCTGTACCTCTGAGTTCTACCTTGATTAATATGACGATAAGATTTTCTTAATAATTTTTATAGAATGTTTTTTTTTTCAACTAAATAACATGTTTTTTTTTGTGTGTCAATAATGTCACGTGTAACATTTAGAATACATTATACAAAAATCTAGTTATATAAAAAATCAAATAAGTGATTGATGTTTTACAAAGATCAACAGAACATAAAATCCAATGTTGCAAATATAATTGTTATTATTTAACATATTTGGATAACATTAATTGCAAACAAATATGTCGACCAATTGCTTTCCGAAAATGTTATTTTAAAATGATAATTAACATTTCTTTTTTTTTCATCATCCAATACTGCTATGTTTAAAAATTACTTATCATCAAAACACTACAGGAAAATTTCCTTTGTACCAAGCTTGAAAGCAATAAATAAATAATAAAATAATACAGCAATTTCTTTTTTTTCCTTTTGACTTCCGTGTTTCACTTCAAAAAGTAATGATGTTTATTTGGTCTGAAAATGCTTTCTAGTGTATTTAATATTTGAATAAATTCATGAAGAAAGTTTTATAATGTAAAAGATATTGTAACACATAACTATTAGGAGTTTATGTTAAATAGATATCAATTGGCATATTGTTAGAATTCGCTTTTCGTATATTTGAAACTAAAGTAAAATTTAATGCAAGGATTTTAATGTATTTCCCTATAAAATTCATTTTCATTGTTTTCTACTTCAGAAGACAAAGTATTAGACATTACATAAGTATGTAGCTAATTTTTATATTGTGTGAAAATACATTTGTTTTTTTTTTCAATGGCAGTCGAAATGGCATTATAATCTAAATGATGAATAATATAGATCTTTCTTACATTGTGTCACAAAATAAGATTCTAAGATAATTTCAATCAATTTTTTTCTCACCGTATGACCTATAAAACAGAAAACAAACTTTTCGCATTAATGCTAATGCATGATTTATAAGAATATGAAACAATTTTTAATCACTAAAATAGTTCTAAAAATAAACAATCATATAATACATCTGATATTAATTATAAGATATATCTGGTTTACCATTAGCAATTTACGCCTATATCTGCTAACATAGAAGCACCAGTGTACCATTTTTCTTTTCTATTTCATAATATTCTGATGACGATGTTCTCAGGTAAAGTACATTTGGGTTTTGTATAATATTTCACAACATGAATATAAAAAAGAAGTAACTCAATAGGTTTGACATGAGTTACAAGTGCAAGATATTATTGTTGAGAAGACAATAAATAATGAATATGAAGTTTTTCCAATGAAAATTAGATTTTTTTTTTTGCTATCATCTGTTAAAACTAATTCCTTAAGAGACAAAAATAATGTAATTAAATAGATGTTTGCAGAATATATGCAAATTTTTTTGTCATATTAATAATACAAGTAATATTTGAAGATGTTTATTTAAGTGAGAATATTAAATCATTCATTTTTATGTTCATCATACTTCCGAGATTCATCATTTCATAAAAGTTTTAGTTCATATTTCTTAATGATGTATTTTGAAACAATGATTCTCCACATATTAAAAGCCTTCTTTTTATATCTTATTAAAAAGTTTGTTACTGCATTTCCGATAATTATCATGAACATGGTTTTTTATTTTTAGTCTTCATATAAATGTAAAAGTTTAGAAGAAAAAAGTCATATTCTATTGAATATCTCATTCATTTTATTAAAATAATCTAACACAAAATTCTATTCAAAGATTTTAAATTGATTATTGCCAGGGAAATGTCATACATCTTGTTAAATCATTGAAATCATTATATCATTAATCAGTCAACTGCGTAGATTTACTTTGAAATTGATTATTCATATATGTAAGATTTTAAACAAAGTATGTCATGTCTCAAAAGTCAGTTCTTATACAAAAATTAAACACGTTTCATATCTATTTGTTTAAAGAAAGAAAAAAAACAGACAACATGTTGTCAGATTATTAAATATGTCATACGGTAAATAAGATATACCGTTTTTTTTTCTTAATCATCTACATCATTAAATGATTAAGGACATTTTGACCTACTTTGAACAACTATTCAAAATATATTCGAAAAAAAAAATCATATTTTATAGATTGAACAATTGATAATTTCAGATAAACTTTTTATAAAATAAATCAATCTTTCATTATATATTCTATTGATATATGAAACAAAAATATATTAGTAAAGGAATTTATAAATTGACAAATCATTAATGAATAGTATGATATTCCATTTTTTAATTTAATCGTTTATTTGATCTAAAGCAAATAAGAATCTTTTACGTGCTTCGATATAAACATATGCTAAGAAATTAATTTCCGAAACGTATCACATATTATTACATAAGTGACTTTCTAATTATTTGTTAAAACATTGAGAGAGTTCTTTTTATTTTCAAATGAAATAGTGATTCGATTTCAACAATAATATTAATCTTTTTTAAATGTTTATTCATGTTGTTTGCTATTGAAAGCATAAGATCCGCATAAAAAAAGTTACTCAAGTAAAGAAATTTTCTGTATTTGTTTTATTCGACCCGCGAGTTAAAATAACGCGTTACATGTAATGGTAACAATCGCAAAAGTTGGATTTTTTTTTTTGAATTCTTAACAGAATGTTAACGATGACAATATCTCGTTAATTCAGACAGGGTACATAGACTTTCACAACATGATTCTGTAATCACTCGTGATGCTCTATTTTCTCTTGGCATTCTGTTAATTGTTGGATATATTCGGCGAAAAAATAGTGCTGATGCTGGAATTGTTCGTTGTTGGACACTTGGTAATGGTGTTGTTGTTTGATATTGTTCAACAACTCGACAAACAACATTTAACATTAATAATAAATTTGGACCACATGCATGAAATACTCTTTCCAATAAACAATCTTCTACTTTATAAAGCTTTTTTCGAATTTGTATAACACTCTTTTCAATTAAATATTGATCATTGTATTCAACTACGCATTGATCATCACGTAAACGTTGACGATAAGCAATATTGGCTGCTTTAATATGATGTAGTTTACCGTCAATTATACGACGAATATCACGTACGACTTTTGCTTTGTAATTTTGATCATCTTGTAAATTATTATTTGTTAAGAAGCCGTCATTATCGTCATGAATACTTTTATTATTTTTACTGTTGTTATTATTATAATTATTTATTGTTGGTACTGTTTGTATGATAGCAACCAGTGCTATTAAACATAAGGGAATATAATTATTCATCTTGATACTTTATTACTAATTATTGAATACTGTGAACTAGCACACTAAACATGAAAGTCTTTTCTCATCAGTTTTCATCATTAAAAAAATGAAAATAAAACCTTACATGTTCTTGCGTTACCCGCGCTTGATCAACACAAATTCAAATTTACCTGCCAGAGTATTATGTCTTTTAAATGCTTCTACATAGATTTTGACATATATATATATATATATTGTAATTTATCGAAAAAAAAATGCTAAGAGAAAATAGAGAGAAAGTAAACATAATAGAACTACAAGAAAAAGGAAAACATTTATCTTTTTAAAAAAACATTTTTATGGCTCTTAATCATACATAAGAAAAAGAAAACTTCCAATGCTTTTTTCTTACCGGAACTATTTATATTATCTAGGTTTATCACGCAAACACTTATTCTGACTTCCGTGTAATTATTCAGAAAATAAATAGGAAAATCATATGATATGGCTTTAAATATTCTTGGCCATTTTGCTATATAACATTTGCATTAAATACGGTCAAAATATCAATTTATATCAAAATCATAAAGTGTAGTGATTTATTCGATTTCTTTTTCATAAGTTTTCAAGAGTTTATTTTTGTTCGAATAATTAGTGAATTTTACAATAAGAATTATAATCAACAAATAAATGATTAGGAAAAGAGATATGATTAAACACATGCTATTGTTTTAATTATATTTATGAGATATGTATACAAAATATTGTAATGAAATTTTCATTCATATATATGAGTAATTTCTTGTGATTTTGTAATTTATTAAGGATATGAAAAGAAAGTAAATATATATATATATTAAGTTTTTTTGTGTGTATTAATTTCATTTTGTACATATATGACGAGAGAGACAACACGAAAATAGGATTAAAATTGAATGTATCTATCTTGTGACAAAATAGAACACAAAAAATTTGAAAATTTAATAGGGTTTTAATGATCAATTCTGCTTTTTTCTTGTTTTCTATTCTTTTTTTTCACCGTTTTAAAGGACAATATTGAAGTAATTCAGATACTGTACATGCACTTTTACAACATTCACTATAATAAGATCTATCAATAAGATTAATTAAATCATTTTCTGTTTGTCGTCGTTTCAATAATTTTTTTTCATAATGTTGTTCAACATATGAACAAACAAGATTGTGCATTCGAAGAAATAATTGTGAACCACATGTTACTACATATGCTCGATTTAATCGACAATCTTCAAGTTTAAACCATTTGTTTTTTATTTTGACTATTTCACCTTCAGTTATTGCACTAGTTGTTTTTCCTTCATTGTCCAATTCAACCATACACTGACCTAAATATGTATTAGAAAATTATATATACATAGAGTATTCTTAAATAGATATATTCTACTAAAAAAGGATATTAGCTTTTCGATATTTATCTAAACAATACCTGTCATTCTACTAACGAATAATTTATCATCTTATATGACATTTGAAGAGTTTCAAGAAGTAGCAAATAGACTATCAGTTTCAATAGGGTGAACGTACCATGGTTAGAAACACGTTGTGTATATGTTGCACCGACACTTTTTATTGTATATTGTTTTCCATCAATATTTTTTTCATCAGATTTGAGATCAACAGGTGATGTGATAACTAATGACAAACAGCAAACAAAGAGAATAAGAGTTGTGAACATGTTGTTGTTTGTTTTGATAAGCGGAAGCAAATGACAAGAAATAGAGACGAAGGATGAATATATAAAAATGTTTGATGTTATGAAAGAAAAAAAAAAAAAAGAACTCTTTAGGAAGAAAAACGCTATAGAAGAGATTGCATGACCAATGTGTGTTGGCTGATGCCGAAACACAATGAAAAAAAAAACAATTACTGATGATTATGTTAAGTATTAACACTGACGAAGATTTTTCCCTCTTCATAGACTTTCGTGTTTTCTTTCTAATCTGACGTTAGCCAGGATCATTAAGTAGAAACGGTTTATTTAAAGAAAAAAAAACAACAACAACAACAAAAGAATAATATATAAATTATCCGTTCATAAAAAAAAGTAAAAATATTCATTTACATATGGTTTCTGATTGTAAAAAGATATCTTTTTATTCAATGAAGCTAGTTAGTTTTTTTTCAAGACGATCGAAACGATCATCAATATGTTGTTGAATTTGTAAAAATTGTTTGTCTATATATGTTTGTAAACGATTTTCCAATGCACTTAACTCTTGTTTCATATTGTCGTTGTCTTGACTACCGCTACTTTTCATCTGTTCGTTGGAAGAAGATTTAATTTCTCTAAGTACTGGCGCCAGAAGCGTAGATGATGACTGTCTGAAACCAAATAAGAAAAAAAAGGCTAATATGAATAAAAGTACTAAAATAGTTCAAGCCATATTAAACAACATCAACATGTGTGTGATCAATTTTTTTTTCTAGTCATTTAGTTAATCAAATAAAATGCTTTACATCGATAATCAGTTGAAAAATTTTCAAATATTAATTTTGATAACAATTGGTTGTTTATATAGTTTTTACGGAATAAAAGGTACATTTCGTTTTTGAATTCTTTATAAGAAAACATAATCTTCCTCCGAAGACTTAATTGAAAAGAATTCTTTTTTTTATTTAATCTTCTATCGATAATATATTATTGTATAGAAAGTAACCAATAATTTCAATCAGCCGCATGCCTGAGAATATCTTTATTTCAAATAGTATCATATTATGATATGTGGCCCAGTTTAATATAATTTATCATCTGGTAGACTTAATCAAAGAAATCCGAGATTGCAAAAGCTTATTACTCCAACGCCATAATAGATTAAAATGAAAAGATCTTTTTGAGCGAAAAAAAAAAAGAAACAAAAAAAGAAAAGATAATACTCTTATTTTGCGCATATAAAAAAAATACGACATATTCGAGATTTTGTTTCTTAATAATAAAATAGGACAGAAATTTTCTAGTGATAAATAACTTAAAAAAAATTCTTCTTACTTGGTGTTAGATGATAAATTAGTCACTCCTAAAAACACATTCTCTGATTACATTTTTAAAAAAATTAGAATAAAGAAAAATCTTTCAACCTTTCATCATTAGCATAATTTGACTTAAATTTAATTGCTGTGAAGAAGCTTCTTTTGTACGCCTTTGTTCTTGCATATGTTGAAGATCATTCATAAATTGACGAGCATTTGATGATAAACTTGTTTCATCAATCATTGAACGTACACGATTTAAATCAAATGGTAAATTCATCATTGGTATTGATTGTGCATTTGATTGTTTTTTACTTAAATTTATTTGTAAACAATAAACAATTAATTGTGTTGTATCAGCAAGTTTTAAGCACTAATATCAAACAACAATATAAAAAAAAGCCTAGTAATAATCAAACGCACTGAATTCAATAGATTTTACTTTCAATGTTATTTCATCATGAGATTGATTAAATACAAAAGATGATTCATAAATTGATTCACTATCAAGTTCAGTTAGACGTGAACCTTGACAACTACCAATATATTCCCGATGATAAAGCTAATAATAAAAATAATAATAATAATAAGTTGAAAATAAAATTCTATATTACTTCCAAATGTTTAGCATTGGATAAAAATTGAATAGAAATAATATGATATTCATCTGGTTGAAGAACACTTAATATTATAATTGGATCTTCTCGTTTTTCTGTTTCATTTGATCGAAGAATTACACTTGTAATATTCTCATCTGATGAAGTAGTTTTCCTATATAAGATTATTCAAATAATTGAAAGATTTTTATTCTGTTTAACGATCTTTAAATATATATATTTAAATCAATATTATATATGAACACCAATATGATTTCTTTTTTTACTGAAGAAAAAAAAGTCATTTTAATTAACCACGTATGATTTCACACGAAACGAAAAAATTTATAAATAAACTAAAGAGTTCAAACAAGTCTAGAATTATTATTAGCATACATGCATTGCAACTCATTAGAAAAATATCATAGTTCACCTACATATGATAAAGGTGAATAATACACACTGAACTCAAACGTCCTTCGAGAAGGAAGATGTGAAAAAATATTTTTAGTATATTTTTTTTGTAAGTTGATTTTCGTCAATTAAACTATTTAATAAATTAGTTGAATGAACAATTTCTTAATAATTAGTAACTGAATTTTTCGGAAGAACAATTAAGAATTTCGAAAGATTCATATCTTTCCACTAAATAAAATATTACATTCAATACAATTGTTATAAAAATAGAAAACCAACCTAAGATTAATATCATCATTAGTTTCTTCTTGTTTATCCATCATTGTCGTTTGTTGATTTTCCTCAATACTAACATCACAAACAAGATCAAGTGATATTGAATTTATAGATGACCAATTTGATCGAACTGATACATATTCAGTCATCTAGAGTGTTTTTTTTTTTTTATAAAAAAAAAGAAAATCATAATTGATTTCTGTTCAAAAATTTTTTCCATTTCATTTATCAATTTAAAAAACAAAGGATATATTGATGTTCTGATTCCTGTTTTTTTTTTTTTTTTGTGTTTTAATTGAATAGAAAATAAAAAAATAGAGCATAACAAAATGTGCATAAATGAACGATGAGAAAAAAATTTAGGAAGAAGTTGAAGAAGAAGAACAAATTAGGGAAGAAGAGAAGAGGAAGAACAGTTTTATCTAATAGTCACACATGCATACAAGAACAAAAGAAATAATAATCTAATGATTTTAAACTATCGCACGTTTGATTTTGATTTTGATTTTCATATTGCTTAATAAAGAACAAATTGTAAAACAACAAACAAACAAACCAACAAACAAAAAAAAAGTTTCACTGTTTTCTTTATTATTTGCTCGTTGTGTTTAGAATGAAGAATAAATAAAGAGAAAAAAAAAAGAAATGAAGATTTTATTTTATCAATAAAATAAATATGATGAAAAAAAGAAAGTTACAGAGTGCCCGGTAAGAGTAGCATATCATGACTACATACATGTGCAA